CGCCAATGTAGGAGACTGGCGGTAAATACTACCGTACTGTTAGCAGAAGAATGACTGAACACAGCAAACGAGAGACAAAAAGGGGCGATGTCAACAATCTCATTTCTGAACATCATCAACCTACACGGCTGTGCAATGGTAATGGTAAAATCATGGCTAAATGTGAGTTTTAACGGACCGGATTCGTAACGCCATCGACTGACAAAAACCTCTTACTTGCCTCTGAAGATAACTTTTACGAAACGTCAGTCACCAACAGCAGATCTTTTTAAAACTACCACTCCTGGATTCAAACCAATTATACTACATTTAATCTTACAAATTACCAAAAAAAGGTAGAAGAAATTCAAGACTAACTGTCACCCTGTAAACCAGTTAATATCTATAGAACGTTTCCACTCACGCAGCCAGCAGTCATGTAAATATTTATTGGAACAAAAGAAAGTACACGAGAAAAGAAGATGGTTTGGGACATCAACATGGCCGCCGTTTCCTTCTTTTGAGGCGCCAATAAGGCTGCCGTAATGTCATTTAAAACACTCTATTTTGAACAGAAAAAAGGAGAAATGTTTGTTTGCTTGTCTGTCTGTTTGTCTGGTTGTTGCTTTCTACTAAAACTGATGCTTACGTTTCTGTACTCCATCAATTTTGTGTTCAAGCGGTTACCAAAGTCAGGATGCACTTTGGCAAAATTATCCACCTGAAAAACAAAGATATAAATGACTTAAGTATTTGTTCATCCGTTAATTGCTCATGCAAGTACTCAAGTGAAGATGAAAAATTTTTAAAAGTCTCAATTTTCTCCTGCACTGGTGAGAAAAATGCAGCAAAACCAGTAAATCATACACCATATTTTCTGTTTTAGTAAAACGTGGGATACAGTATTATTGCTGGTTAAAAAGTGGAGAAAAAGTACCGGAAAGAATTTCTCTGTTTCTTCGTTGCTGCCCTTTTAAACTTTCACATGTCTTCCTTTAGAGTGTCCAATGCTCGACAGAGTTTCCGAGAAGTTGTGTTTTCGGTCGAAGCCGTCTTAGGAAGAAAATTTGTGGTTTGTTTTTCATAGATGAATACTTACAGCTCGTTTCTGTATGAACTCCTTGGCGTCCTTCAGATGACCTGCAATGCTGCTCACCAACCGCTCTTTGGCGTCTTTATCCAATACTTTGTCCCAGAAAAGGGTGACCTGAGGATTCAGTGTAAGCTTATAAAGTCAAACAGTTCAGCAAAACTTAAATAACTGAATGTGCACTGCAGAAATCTTTCAGATAAGCAAGAGCTCAGTATTTTGGAATAGACACTACAGGTGTCGCAGTGACTGACATTAGTTCTGCCGTATTCCATGTAATACAAAGCTACAGGTTTTTTATCCATCCTTAGGTTATTAAGTCTCCTTTATAGCAATTTGCGACGCTTTGTTTTACTGAGCCATTCTTGTCTGTCACTGACCATGGTGTGACTGCTTGGCTGGCAAAACCTATGCTATTTAGGTGCCATGCGTCTTAATACAATGGATACATTATCCTCCTCTAGGTGACCACTGTTATCTTCAATATTTCTTATACGAAAACTACTAAAACTATAACTATAATCAGGACTCATGATAATATTAAAAACTGAGTTTAACACTGGCTTAAAAAACGTTGAAACAAACGTTTTGTACATCAGTACTTGAGGTCGTTCTTCTTTTCTGACTTTTGCTTTTATGTGCAATTCAGAAATAAAAGGGTCAGTTTTTATTTTATTCTCTACTCTTAGAAGAAAAGAACTAAGTAACCATAGCGATTATCACACCTGAGAGAAGTTATCTTCATCGCCCGACTCGTAGCGCTGGCAATCGCCAGATACCTACAGAAGTACAACAGAAATTCAATGAATAAAACCTGAGATACCAATGAAATAGCATACCCTAATCATACCAATTAACAACTTGTATGTAAATAAATTGAACGCCAAAGTATCAGGAAAGAAGATAAAAAGAGGCGGTGATTAGGGCTCAAAAGTGCAAACATTGGTACCTATTGGTGGGCATTTTTTTACCTGGAATTTGTGCGCTGAATACTTCATGTCGTCTTTGGGTCCACTGAAGCTGTTGGGGTAGTAGTTAGGACAGCCATCTGAAAAGAGTTCAGAATAAAATCATTAAATGTAAGACTTTCGCACAAATTTTGAGATCAGCCGTACCGTTTATTTTGTTACATGTAGTATGGTGGTCTTCGAAATGACCATAGTGGCGTTCACATAGATAACTATCACTTGCAAGAAAGGTGTATTAAAGCTGCTTTCTTACTAACCCTTTCATGCAAATAAAAATTGATAAACAATGTAACTTACCTTGGTTATCAAAGGTCTGTGGTCCATCCCTCTGGTAGTTGGAGACTCTGGTCTTGTAAGGACAATTCACAGGCAGCTGTAGGTAGTTGGTTCCCAGTCGGTGAAGGTGAGTGTCATGGTACGAGAAGAGTCGACCCTGAGATGAAATAAATTGGACGGTATGACGTTCAAATACTAACAAAATGGAGTGATTAATGATGATGACGAGAAAGGGAATAGCAGGAAAGCGCTATGTTAACCTGAAGCATCTTATCTGGAGATGGCTCAATTCCAGGAACCATTGCCGCAGGGTTAAAAGCGCTCTGCTCAATCTGTGCAAAATAGTTGGACGGGTTTTCGTCAAGTACCATCTTTCCAACTTGTATCAGCGGATAATCAGAATGTGGCCAGATCTGTAATTAATGAAACAAGAGAAACATTATTCCAACCCACAAATAGTCGCTTTATTTAGGTAAAAGTCAATTAACGACGAAGCTCTGTGTAAAGACCTATTAGACCTTTAGCAAAATTGAAAATATCTACATCACACACAGAAGTTGAATGTGCATAAAATTATTGGGCAATGTTTTCATGAAAAGGGAAATAAAAAATGGAAAAGGCTTAGGTCTTCACAGCTCCTCCTCGAGCTTCAAGGTGCCGAAAACCACGTACGATGTAATACGGTAGAAGAGAAGACGTTTTCTACGTTCTCTTAAATCGCAATGTTACCTTGGTCAAATCAAATGGATTCCAGCGGAACTTTTCAGCCTGTTCAAACGTCATGACCTGGATGTACATAGTCCAAGACGGCTGAAAAGGACGAACGAAAAGCGTTCTTGTAAATGAAAACAACAACAACAACAATAACAACAACAAAATTATCTTAATTTCAGATGTATATAAACACTGGTAAACTTACTGGTTTTTTATTAGCAATGGCATTGTACAGCATCCTGTTGTTGTAGTCTGGATCAGAACCTGCCAGCCTTTCTGCTTTGTCTGCGGGCAGGTTTTTTATTCCTTCATCGGTCTGCGAATGATATTTCAAATACGTTTAAAATGATGAAGGCATTTAAAACCTTATAACTACATACCTTTTAGCTCAGTAAAGGTATACTGAGGATACTGCATGTTAAATTAATGAAATGGTTTCTTGGAAGCCAGGATGAGCTGCAGGATTAAACTTTATTCTGGACACTCAACGAACAATGACGTTGAATACATCGAAAGGTCGATTAATCTTACTTCTACTATTTTTTGACACATTAATGGACAATTTAAGTATTGTCCAAGGCGATTGCAATCAAGATTGTATTTAGCTTAAGTCAGTGCATGAAACAAATTGCCTTATACCTTGAGATGGAACTTGCAGTAGACAGCCTCTCCCTTGGCATTCACCATTTTAAAGGTGTGACTTCCATATCCATTCATGTGCTGATAACCGTCAGGAATTCCACGATCACTGAACAAGAAGCACACTTGATGGGTGGTCTCAGGACGCAGTGTGATGAAATCCCAGAACATGTCAGGATCCTAGCACAACGAAAGGCTTTTAGTGGATTGATTTCGGTTCTTTGAGTTCTTTCTGCAATATATTTCTGTCATGTGCTCTTGGAAAACATGGTATATTCTTAATATTATTACAGAATGCTGTGACAACGTTAACTTACTTTTAAATGAGTCACAGGATTCCTCTTCTGAGTGTGAATGAAGCTGGGAAACTGAGTATCAGAAAGAAACACCAAACCAATGTTATAGAGCCAAAAATGTTGTGAAAAATATTATGAAATGCTCTAGCTTTCAAGACAACCAAACACTTGTGTACTTACGAAGATTGGGTCCCTGATAAAGAAGATAGGAGTGTTGTTTCCAACAAGATCCCAGTTTCCTTCATCAGTATAGAACTTTATGGCAAAGCCACGTGGGTCACGGGCAGTGTCAGCACTACCAGACTCGCCACCTAAAGATTAAAGCAGAAACCTCTTTGAATCTGAAGCCAAAAATATGTTGAAGTACCATCCAGATATTGACTGTTTTCCTTAATGAATGTTTAACAAGATAATGATCTGAGCAACAACCATAATAATCCTTTATTGGAACACGATCTTGTTTTAGGCAACAGGTTTGCTTATGGGGTCGTGTATCTAGCCAAACATTAATATGACATAGTTGAAAAGAAGAAATAAGCTGTATCAAGTAGTCCAGATACAAACAAACACACTAAAATCTGAGGGAATTTGTTACGAGAGGAATTCAGCTACTCTTTAGATATGGATAACTATGGATAACAGGGTTTTTTGTACAATAAACCCAAGCACACTGACCAACAGTAGNGACTTGAAACTAAATTGCAAAGACCTTGTCCCTAAGTCAAATCGAAAGGCTAAAGATTATCGCACGCGTTTGTTATGTGCTTTCTCAGGGTGCGTTCCTTTGGGATGTTCCGGATCAGGATATATGTATATATATATTTTAGATTTGGATCATGGGGCATCAAACGACGAATCCATTCTGGACAAGGAGTCGTTGGTTTCTTGGATGACCGATGATCCGAGTGACCCTGGATCATTGATCCTGATTGGGATCCTTCCAAAGAAAAGCATCCTCAGTCAACGTGGTAATTTCTTGTGTCGGTGTCAACCCATGGAAGAGATTATATTTAGCTGTTTCAAGAATCAGGAACAAAATCAATCAAACTGAATCTTTATTGAATAACTTGAGCTCATCTATCTATTACGTGCCTCGGTACATGCACCCATGAAGTTTAACAACAAGAGATCGTGGTCTCTTGCAATAACCTAAGACAAAAACGTATTTGAAAATCGTGACAAACTTAAACAAACTGATGCTCCTCGCAGAGCAGACTCTGTGTCAACTTTACTTATTAGTCTTTACATTATTCTCAAACTTTAGTTTTTCTATAATCGTTGCTTGATCAGTGTATTACTCCACAGCTAAAACTTGTCCTTTTGGACTAAATATAACTGATCGAAATGCAGGCAGTTGTTGAAAGTACCTTCAACAGTCATGGAGCGTCTGTGGAGATTTACTGTGGAAGCAATAAAAATAACAATGGTGAGAAACCAAAACTTCTGTAATCCGACAAGTCCTTCTGGTGTGATCGTCTGTGTGAGGGTAGTTCTCCAAATAACAGTTGTTTGTGGACAGACGTTTCGCTAATCTGAGCGGAAGTCATTATCACAGTCCAGTTAGATGTGTTTGACAGTCGCTGGTGTCATCAGTCTGGTCCGTTGACACTGAGTGGTCAGTTGAGCCACTGGCTATAAAACTTGAGTGTAAAGTTGTTTAAAATACTCTGGCTAGTTAATCAGTCTCGCCAATGTAGGAGACTGGCGGTAAATACTACCGTACTGTTAGCAGAAGAATGACTGAACACAGCAAACGAGAGACAAAAAGGGGCGATGTCAACAATCTCATTTCTGAACATCATCAACCTACACGGCTGTGCAATGGTAATGGTAAAATCATGGCTAAATGTGAGTTTTAACGGACCGGATTCGTAACGCCATCGACTGACAAAAACCTCTTACTTGCCTCTGAAGATAACTTTTACGAAACGTCAGTCACCAACAGCAGATCTTTTTAAAACTACCACTCCTGGATTCAAACCAATTATACTACATTTAATCTTACAAATTACCAAAAAAAGGTAGAAGAAATTCAAGACTAACTGTCACCCTGTAAACCAGTTAATATCTATAGAACGTTTCCACTCACGCAGCCAGCAGTCATGTAAATATTTATTGGAACAAAAGAAAGTACACGAGAAAAGAAGATGGTTTGGGACATCAACATGGCCGCCGTTTCCTTCTTTTGAGGCGCCAATAAGGCTGCCGTAATGTCATTTAAAACACTCTATTTTGAACAGAAAAAAGGAGAAATGTTTGTTTGCTTGTCTGTCTGTTTGTCTGGTTGTTGCTTTCTACTAAAACTGATGCTTACGTTTCTGTACTCCATCAATTTTGTGTTCAAGCGGTTACCAAAGTCAGGATGCACTTTGGCAAAATTATCCACCTGAAAAACAAAGATATAAATGACTTAAGTATTTGTTCATCCGTTAATTGCTCATGCAAGTACTCAAGTGAAGATGAAAAATTTTTAAAAGTCTCAATTTTCTCCTGCACTGGTGAGAAAAATGCAGCAAAACCAGTAAATCATACACCATATTTTCTGTTTTAGTAAAACGTGGGATACAGTATTATTGCTGGTTAAAAAGTGGAGAAAAAGTACCGGAAAGAATTTCTCTGTTTCTTCGTTGCTGCCCTTTTAAACTTTCACATGTCTTCCTTTAGAGTGTCCAATGCTCGACAGAGTTTCCGAGAAGTTGTGTTTTCGGTCGAAGCCGTCTTAGGAAGAAAATTTGTGGTTTGTTTTTCATAGATGAATACTTACAGCTCGTTTCTGTATGAACTCCTTGGCGTCCTTCAGATGACCTGCAATGCTGCTCACCAACCGCTCTTTGGCGTCTTTATCCAATACTTTGTCCCAGAAAAGGGTGACCTGAGGATTCAGTGTAAGCTTATAAAGTCAAACAGTTCAGCAAAACTTAAATAACTGAATGTGCACTGCAGAAATCTTTCAGATAAGCAAGAGCTCAGTATTTTGGAATAGACACTACAGGTGTCGCAGTGACTGACATTAGTTCTGCCGTATTCCATGTAATACAAAGCTACAGGTTTTTTATCCATCCTTAGGTTATTAAGTCTCCTTTATAGCAATTTGCGACGCTTTGTTTTACTGAGCCATTCTTGTCTGTCACTGACCATGGTGTGACTGCTTGGCTGGCAAAACCTATGCTATTTAGGTGCCATGCGTCTTAATACAATGGATACATTATCCTCCTCTAGGTGACCACTGTTATCTTCAATATTTCTTATACGAAAACTACTAAAACTATAACTATAATCAGGACTCATGATAATATTAAAAACTGAGTTTAACACTGGCTTAAAAAACGTTGAAACAAACGTTTTGTACATCAGTACTTGAGGTCGTTCTTCTTTTCTGACTTTTGCTTTTATGTGCAATTCAGAAATAAAAGGGTCAGTTTTTATTTTATTCTCTACTCTTAGAAGAAAAGAACTAAGTAACCATAGCGATTATCACACCTGAGAGAAGTTATCTTCATCGCCCGACTCGTAGCGCTGGCAATCGCCAGATACCTACAGAAGTACAACAGAAATTCAATGAATAAAACCTGAGATACCAATGAAATAGCATACCCTAATCATACCAATTAACAACTTGTATGTAAATAAATTGAACGCCAAAGTATCAGGAAAGAAGATAAAAAGAGGCGGTGATTAGGGCTCAAAAGTGCAAACATTGGTACCTATTGGTGGGCATTTTTTTACCTGGAATTTGTGCGCTGAATACTTCATGTCGTCTTTGGGTCCACTGAAGCTGTTGGGGTAGTAGTTAGGACAGCCATCTGAAAAGAGTTCAGAATAAAATCATTAAATGTAAGACTTTCGCACAAATTTTGAGATCAGCCGTACCGTTTATTTTGTTACATGTAGTATGGTGGTCTTCGAAATGACCATAGTGGCGTTCACATAGATAACTATCACTTGCAAGAAAGGTGTATTAAAGCTGCTTTCTTACTAACCCTTTCATGCAAATAAAAATTGATAAACAATGTAACTTACCTTGGTTATCAAAGGTCTGTGGTCCATCCCTCTGGTAGTTGGAGACTCTGGTCTTGTAAGGACAATTCACAGGCAGCTGTAGGTAGTTGGTTCCCAGTCGGTGAAGGTGAGTGTCATGGTACGAGAAGAGTCGACCCTGAGATGAAATAAATTGGACGGTATGACGTTCAAATACTAACAAAATGGAGTGATTAATGATGATGACGAGAAAGGGAATAGCAGGAAAGCGCTATGTTAACCTGAAGCATCTTATCTGGAGATGGCTCAATTCCAGGAACCATTGCCGCAGGGTTAAAAGCGCTCTGCTCAATCTGTGCAAAATAGTTGGACGGGTTTTCGTCAAGTACCATCTTTCCAACTTGTATCAGCGGATAATCAGAATGTGGCCAGATCTGTAATTAATGAAACAAGAGAAACATTATTCCAACCCACAAATAGTCGCTTTATTTAGGTAAAAGTCAATTAACGACGAAGCTCTGTGTAAAGACCTATTAGACCTTTAGCAAAATTGAAAATATCTACATCACACACAGAAGTTGAATGTGCATAAAATTATTGGGCAATGTTTTCATGAAAAGGGAAATAAAAAATGGAAAAGGCTTAGGTCTTCACAGCTCCTCCTCGAGCTTCAAGGTGCCGAAAACCACGTACGATGTAATACGGTAGAAGAGAAGACGTTTTCTACGTTCTCTTAAATCGCAATGTTACCTTGGTCAAATCAAATGGATTCCAGCGGAACTTTTCAGCCTGTTCAAACGTCATGACCTGGATGTACATAGTCCAAGACGGCTGAAAAGGACGAACGAAAAGCGTTCTTGTAAATGAAAACAACAACAACAACAATAACAACAACAAAATTATCTTAATTTCAGATGTATATAAACACTGGTAAACTTACTGGTTTTTTATTAGCAATGGCATTGTACAGCATCCTGTTGTTGTAGTCTGGATCAGAACCTGCCAGCCTTTCTGCTTTGTCTGCGGGCAGGTTTTTTATTCCTTCATCGGTCTGCGAATGATATTTCAAATACGTTTAAAATGATGAAGGCATTTAAAACCTTATAACTACATACCTTTTAGCTCAGTAAAGGTATACTGAGGATACTGCATGTTAAATTAATGAAATGGTTTCTTGGAAGCCAGGATGAGCTGCAGGATTAAACTTTATTCTGGACACTCAACGAACAATGACGTTGAATACATCGAAAGGTCGATTAATCTTACTTCTACTATTTTTTGACACATTAATGGACAATTTAAGTATTGTCCAAGGCGATTGCAATCAAGATTGTATTTAGCTTAAGTCAGTGCATGAAACAAATTGCCTTATACCTTGAGATGGAACTTGCAGTAGACAGCCTCTCCCTTGGCATTCACCATTTTAAAGGTGTGACTTCCATATCCATTCATGTGCTGATAACCGTCAGGAATTCCACGATCACTGAACAAGAAGCACACTTGATGGGTGGTCTCAGGACGCAGTGTGATGAAATCCCAGAACATGTCAGGATCCTAGCACAACGAAAGGCTTTTAGTGGATTGATTTCGGTTCTTTGAGTTCTTTCTGCAATATATTTCTGTCATGTGCTCTTGGAAAACATGGTATATTCTTAATATTATTACAGAATGCTGTGACAACGTTAACTTACTTTTAAATGAGTCACAGGATTCCTCTTCTGAGTGTGAATGAAGCTGGGAAACTGAGTATCAGAAAGAAACACCAAACCAATGTTATAGAGCCAAAAATGTTGTGAAAAATATTATGAAATGCTCTAGCTTTCAAGACAACCAAACACTTGTGTACTTACGAAGATTGGGTCCCTGATAAAGAAGATAGGAGTGTTGTTTCCAACAAGATCCCAGTTTCCTTCATCAGTATAGAACTTTATGGCAAAGCCACGTGGGTCACGGGCAGTGTCAGCACTACCAGACTCGCCACCTAAAGATTAAAGCAGAAACCTCTTTGAATCTGAAGCCAAAAATATGTTGAAGTACCATCCAGATATTGACTGTTTTCCTTAATGAATGTTTAACAAGATAATGATCTGAGCAACAACCATAATAATCCTTTATTGGAACACGATCTTGTTTTAGGCAACAGGTTTGCTTATGGGGTCGTGTATCTAGCCAAACATTAATATGACATAGTTGAAAAGAAGAAATAAGCTGTATCAAGTAGTCCAGATACAAACAAACACACTAAAATCTGAGGGAATTTGTTACGAGAGGAATTCAGCTACTCTTTAGATATGGATAACTATGGATAACAGGGTTTTTTGTACAATAAACCCAAGCACACTGACCAACAGTAGAGAACCGAACCACGCAAGGGGTCGTCTTTCCAATTTTTTCGAAGATCTTGGCCTTGCAATACTTGGTGATGTCATGAGTGACCTCAAAGTATCCAAATGCTCCACCTCCCTTGGCATGCACCACTCTCTCTGGGATTCTTTCCCTGTCAAAATGACTCATCTCATCCAGAAACTGGGCGTCCTGTAGCAGGATGGGCCCCCTGGGTCCAGCTGTCATGGTGGCCGTCTTTGTGTCGATGGGACACCCAGTTCCAGTGGTGAGGACATCAGGTTTCTTGTTAGAAAAAAGAAAAAGAAAAACCCCGACTTCATTTCCACGTATCAGAATTTAATTGAGATTAGACTCGATTACAACAAGTTAACCTTTCAAGCAGTGGTAATCAAGGCATCCAAATTTCCTCAGCAAACAAAACAACACACTTCTTCTTAGTGGGTATTATTTCTGTAGCTTTTCATACATCGTTTTATTAACGTGCAGAAATATCGATTTCCGTTGATCACTGATCTGAATGTCTGAAGACTGGATCTGTTTCGGTCAAAAGCCACTCTACGCACTTATGTATCAGCTTCCTTGGGACGACAAAAGATCACCCTGCAGCAACAATGTATCTCAACTTCGCATCATTTAAGCCAAAAAACGTTTGATGAGAGAACAATCAATCGTGGAGTTTTCCATGTTTTTCCTCCAACGAGAAACACAATTTATAGCAACTTCCTTGTTTGGAAAATAAAAAGTTAGATTGCGCAAATTTACATCCCAACGAACAGCTGTGAAAATCTCCACTGATTTTGCCCGCTATAGCGTGCATGGCTTTTTTGCTTGGGATTTTTCTGACGTTACCTAACCACAATTTATTGTAACGCTTACCCCCCCGCCGCCTCCGGCATGCTTTTTGTGAAAATTGGCAATTTTGGGGTCTGATGTTTTCGTGAGTTTGTGACGGATTCTTATCGAACTTCGCATATTTACTAAGTTCGGCCTGAAACATTGATCTATGGAGGTAATCTTTTGTTTATTTGAAAAATACAAAGCTGTTGGTATTTCGGGACATCGTGAAACTGGTTCATTACAAGTAGCCACATGTACTGGGGTGTAAATAACTGTTCTAAGTTACGGTTCGTGATTGACGTTTTTAAGACCTTTTATACACTCTTTCGCAATTCAGTACTTCTTGAAACATGTCTTGTGTTTTAATTCTCCGAGGGTGAAATATTATGACTCAGCACAGTTTCTGGGAGTTAATAAGAACAAATAATATTATCTAAGATGGTTTATACGGCTGTTTAATAAACGTGGTCCGCTACAACATAATAAAAATTTTCAAGTTGTCTCCCTTTCCCTTTAACTAAAAACATTTAATTAACACTCTTTTATGCATCGTTGTCCAAGAGTGCGTGTTGCGCTGTTAGCCAGTTACATGATGTCTTTGAACGTTTTGGATCGCTGGTCAGTTCTTCGTTCTTCTTCGCTTTCAATACATTTTATACGGTAGTTCACGTTTTGCACACAGTATCTCACAGTATCTCACGAGAACCACCTGAAGGGCTGAAAAAAGTACGTAATGGTTACTTAGAGAAAATTCATCGCATTTTGCTCGGGCTAAATTGATATCTGTGATTAACATATAATCATATTAACACTAGCCTACTCGTCTCTTGTTTGCATGTAAATTAGAACGTGCTCGCATGTTGTAAACAGATCTGCAAGTCACGAACATAATTTCTTAATCAGTGATTGAATATTTGGTATAGAAAATCTTAACAAAAAATCTCTTTTACGAAGAGCGACTTTTGCAAAACATTCCAGCACTAGGTATTAAACACGGACCCTCGCTTGTTGACAGAAACTGAAGTACATGTAAATATGATAACCTATTATATCAAACCGAGACACAGGCTGCATGCATGCTGTATTGGATGACATTCTTGAAAGGCAATCACAAATTCGCTCTCGTGTTTAAATCATTCGCATGGTAAGAGAAAGACCTCTTCAACTCCTTGAACCTCTACTGATCCAATTGCACTGCGAAGCAACGGCTTGACACCAA